CTCTAAATAGTGATTTACCATTAAATGGTGCTGAGTTTTGAATTCAAACTTCTCTTTATATTTTTTACTATGTTAAAAATCATACCTTTTTCTTAGTTTTCTAAAAGTATTTTTTATTTGAAATGGATAATGAATTTTAATACTTTTTTTGGCATTAAAACATTTTGCTATGTAAGATACCTCCTCTTCTCTGAAATAGTTTTAGTTATTCTCGTCCTTTTAAAACACATTGCTGGAGGGCCTCCCTGGTGGCACAGCGGTTGTGCGCTGGCTTGCGAAGCTGCCTGAAGCCTCTGCAGCGCCGGTTCAATCCCCGTCCCCCGCCCCCCAAGAGGGCCCCACATGGCGCGCAGACCTCTCCTGCCGCTTGCTGCTCCCTTCAGCAGTGTACTTAGTCACTCTGCCTGTTCTGCTCTCCCCTCTGGCTCTAGTGAATTCTCTCACCCTCCCGCACGTCTGAATGTACCCAGTGCTTGTATAAATAAATAAATCTTAAAAAATAAAATAAAAAAAACCACATTGCTGGATTTCATTTACTAATAGTTTATGTAGATGTTCATCCTCTATGAGCTTGCCCTCAAATATTCATTACTTCTCATATCCAATTTTTTAGAAACAAAGATTAATTATCATACAATGTATTTTATTTTATTTTTTTTTTTTCTGTATTTTATTTTATTTTTTTTTAATAAATTTTATTGTTATATTCCCCATACAATTGCAGCCCCCCCATTCTGACCCCAATCCCTCCCCTCCCACCCCCGCCCCCTAAAAGTGTCTCTGGTTCATAGTTTTTTGTTGATTTTGATTTTCACTTTCTTATAGTTATTCATTTTCCTGGTCCCTTATTTAAGTTTTCTAGATTCCTGCTATGAGTGAGACCATCCGGTATTTTTCTTTTTCTTTTTGGCTTATTTCGCTGAGCATGATCCCTTCCAGCGCCATCCATGTTGCTGCAAATTGCATGTGTTTATCTTTTTTGAATGCTGAGTAATATTCCATGGTATATATGTACCACATCTTCTTGATCCAGTCATCTATTTTTGGGCATTTGGGTTGTTTCCAAAGCTTAGCTATTGTAAACAGTGCTGCTATAAACATAGGGGTGCAGGTGTTCTTTGGAATTGATGTTTCTGTGTCCTTTGGGTAAATACCTAGGAGTGGAATTGCTGGATCATATGGAAGCTCTATGTTTAGTAGGTCCAGAAATCTCCATACAGCTTTCCACAGTGGTTGGACCAGTTTGCACTCCCACCAACAGTGCAGAAGAGTTCCTTTTTCTCCACACCCTCGCCAACATTTGTTGTTGCTAGTTTTTTTAATATGTGCCATTCTCACTGGTGTAAGATGGTATCTCATGGTAGTTTTGATTTGCATTTCCCTGATGACAAGTGATGTTGAACATTTTTTCATATGCCTGTTGGCCATTTGCATTTCCTCTTCAGAGAAGTTTCTTTTAAGCTCTTCTGCCCATTTTTTGACTGGATTATTTTCTTTGTTGTTGTTGAGTCTCATCAGCTCTTTGCAGATTTTTGTGATCAGTCCTTTATCATTAGTGTTGGGTGCAAAAATGTTCTCCCAGTTGGTGGGGTTTCTCTTTGTTTTTCATACAATGTATTTTAAAAGCCTGTTATTTTCTTTGGAATATTATACATCAGATATGGGCCATTTGTCTCTTAAAAATCTGGTAAAACTTAGGTGAAAAAATTCTAGAACTGTTGTTTTGGTTGGGTGTGGGATTTCCTCATATCTCTTTTCTAGAGCACTCATTTCAACTTCATCTGTCTAATCGTATGACTTAAACTATCCATCAGGTTGTGTTTAATGACAATATATTTTCAGGTCTAGAATTAATACTAGGTTATTCTGCAAATCTGCCTTTGTTGCGTGTTCTTCCCCTTATGTCAGGTTACTCTTTTTACACATTTAAATTGTTTTACATTCTCTTTCAAATTCTTCTGTCCTGTCTTCTTGCTTGTTCTCCTGTTTCTTTCATCCATCTTCCTATTGTTTGTCACTTGGTGTGGGAAGCTCATCCTCAGAGGAGGTTGTTGGTTGCTGGGCAGCTGTAGGTTGAGTTGGACACATGTGACCTCTGCCAGCGCAGAGGGGTTTGGATGGTAATGGGTACATTCTGGGTTTATTTTCCTTATTTGGTGCTTCTGTGTCATGTTTGCTTCCTTGGGTCATTGAGACACTTTTCCATTCCTCATGGAGTCTGACTTCTGCAAGAACTCTCTCTTGCCAGTTGCCTTCCACAGGCTGGTGTGCTGTATCTACATTAGCATCACATTTGCAAATGGCAGATCTTAGGCCTGATGCCTCCTCAGTTCTGTTTCCTGATTAGATTTTGCATTTCTTTTTTTGTTTCCTGTATCTGGGGATTTCCTACTCTTTCCTCTGAGCAAGACCACACATTACAATTTTCAAACTCTTGTTTTATACAGAATTGTTGGATCTGTCATATTGACCATAAGCCCAGAAATTCAGATCTTTAACTGGTTACTTTGTTCATTTATTTTTAAGCAAAGGCAAAGAAGGTAGAAGAGAAGTGGCTGGTAACCTATGCTTTTAATTTCTGACTACATGTAGCACCTAAGAATATATTTAAACAATTTGTACTTTTTGGCATTAATATGTTGGCATTTTACTTGTATCTTAGTACAATATGTGTGAATATTCATAGCCACTCAAGATATATATATAATATATATAAAAATAAATGTTTGCTCTATATCTTTAATAATTTTGTATAATTCATTCAAAGGCTTAGAAAGTCATGTTAATATCTCCCACAATAAAGATAGTTTTTCAGTTTGCTCTTTGGCATTTAACAACTTTCGCTTCATATAATCTGCTGCTGTAATATTTGTTGAAGACTCTGGGGCCTGTATTATGTTTCAACTAGCTAGAGCTACAACAGTCTTAGCATCATTATTAGCTACTTTTTATTACAGCATTTATAGCCTCTTTTTTTGTTATAGAATGTAAAGCAGTATTTAGGAAAAACTTGAAAGAGGAAATATACATAATAAGAACAAAAGCAGTTAAAACTTGGGATGTACAGGAGAGAAAGAATAATGGGAAAAGTTAAGGAATTTAAATTTATCTTATTTTGTAGGGATGGTTCAAGAGAGACTGTTATATTCACAGGGTTGACAGAAAATATATAGGTTTTAATATGTTGCATTTTAAAATTTATCTTTTCTGACCGCCATTTAGTGAATGGCATGAACAGGTGAACTAATAACTGCAGAAATGTTTTCTTCAAATTCCATTATTTTCCCTTTAGAATATTTTTAACAACCATATGCTTGCATTTAGGAGTGCTACATGCAAAATATCATGTTGTTGAATCACTGCCTTCCTCTTTCCAAACTGTCAATGTGGTGCTGGAAGCACAATTTCATTTGTGGCTTAAGCCAAATCCCTACCCTAGAAGTCTTTATTTCTATGTGAATATGAATGAGCTTGAGAGACTGTCAGGTGTCTGCAAGTAAATATTAGGACAGGAAGGGAAGAAGAAGAATGGGCTGGTTTCCCAAGAAATAAAATTTCATGGAGAAATTGGAAAATAAGTTTTCAAAATGCCACCTTAAAAATCCATAATCAACTTGAATTTCATTTTCTCTGAATATACACCATGTCTGTAATCATCCAGGCAATGGCACACCCCATGCACCCCATTCATCTTCAGACAGGGGTTGGGTCTGAAGACACCCTTGTCTGGGAAGTCTTCTTTGAAAGGTGTGGATGACTTCAAGTTTAACTCTCAGAATTTTCTGATCTTAGACTTGAGATTTTGCTTAGAGAGAGGGAAGGTAGACTCAGGTAATGTCACATTAAAGGGGTGGAGGGAAAGGAGGTACTCTATAAAGTGACTACTGTGTGAATATCAGAGATATTTCAATAGATTTATTATTTCAATAAAATGTTTTCAAATAGCGCACACTCTTTGGATGCATGAGAGCATTTTCAAGTATTAAAAGTAATTCAATGTTGTGAATGTTTGGAATTATTCCAAGGCCAGGAATTCCAGATGTTTGTCAGGAAGCCATTGTATGTCTGTTGAAATATTCAAATGGATTTTAAGATATTAAGGAAGAAAAAAAAAAGAAATATGCCTCAATTCTTCCTTTTTAAATACAGAACAATTCCCACTTCAGAAGTGGGTACTGAGCTAGTGTGAGTGTGAGTGGTTAGTTATCCTTCTTGCCCTTCGTTTCTCCTAGGGCAACTGTGCCCCCCCCCCCAAAAAAAGGAAAGCATTTAAAAAAATATGGCATTATAGAAAACACGGTATATTATTACTGTTTATCACTGCAGATACTGAATCAATCCTTATCTATGTGATGAATGCCAGATATAACTATGACTCAGTGCTTCTGGCCATCTGTCCTTACATAACTAGTCCTCCCCATGTCACCTAGACAGCTAAAGGAATCACATATGTCTTTAAATCAAGAGCTTTGCCAGCAACAAATGTCTTGTGAAAGTGCCAATATAATGAAATTCATTTTTTTTTTGCATGAAATTGTATTAGTTCCATGTCCCTCTATTTCATGTCAGTATTCACCATGGTAAGACTTTCTTGGCTATTCCAAGCAAGAGTCATCTAGATTAAAAAAAATTCCAGAATTTATACATACAAGCCTAACAGTACGGGTTTTGGTTTATTCAGAATTCATAAACTCAGGCCATCTATCTTTCACTTACACTTGACAGTTCCTAATACCTTGTTAAGGACATCAGTGCCCTAACCAACCAGTGCTAACATTGCACCTGAGAGGAGTGACTTAGCAGACAAGCTGGTGGGCTATGGAGCAAGTCCCCTGCTGGCTTTCCTGATGGAAGCAAGGGAGCCATGGTGGGTAGCCATGCTCCAGCAGGGAAGAACCTCTCTGTATAATGCGCTGTGTATGGATGTGCTAACTGATGGGACTAGGACTTCCCTTCCCTGAAGCAGGATGAAGAAACCCCTGGACTCTGCCAGGACTTACTGAGTGTGACTGAGTCATTGATCTTGAAGCTGCAGAGGACCCTGTCCACATTTCGGGCATGTCGGAAGCCATTTCCTCTCACGACTACTTGAAATGATTCTGAAATGAAGCATAATGATAAGCCATTAATTGACTGCAGACCATTAGCTTGAAATGTCTCATCTATCCCAATTTAGGGTATCTGTTAACTATTTTGTCAGGCTTAAAATAATAAAAAATTAGTTCAGGTTGGAAATCAAAAGCAACTATGTGGTGGCTTTCACCATGGACTCACCCCCTCTTTCTTACTAGATGACTGTAAAAAGGGTATAGGAGTTCCTACTTTGAATTCCCACCTTTGTTCTTGCTGTTCCTCCTGGAATGTCTTTCTCCCCACTCTCTGACATTCAAGTCCTGGCAGTTTTTAAAACTAATGATCACAATCAGGCGGTCACAGGGGTTCTCCCTTCTTCCATTGACTCAACTCTTTTTGTATCTCTTTTACATACTGGACTTCCCTGAAAGGATTTCTCTAGAATTCAAAGTGCTGTAAGTTTTGGAAAACTACCACCTCATGGCATTTGGTCTTTCTTGAACAAAGCAGTATGTGATTTTGTGCTGTCTGGTGTCATTCTTGCATCTTTTTTTTGCCACAACTAGAAAGACATTCCTTTAGGCCAGGAACTAGTAAATAGTGGCCTTCCCTTGTCTGCTCCTGCCGGGCACAGGGCAGCCATACTAGTGTTAGGTGAAATAATTGTGTGTTTGGGCTGAGCTGCCCTCAGCCTCTGCAGCGCCGGTTTGATCCCCAGCCACTGGGTGAGGGTCCCACATGGCGTGCAGACCTTTCCTGCTGCCCGCTGCTCCCCTCAGCAGTGTACTTCATCAGTCTGCCTGCTCTGCTCTCCCCTCTGGCTCTGGTGGAATTCTCTCACCCTCCCGCGCTTCTGACTGTACCCAGTGCTTGTATAAATAAATAAATAAATCTTAAAAAAAATAATTGTGTGTAGTGATAAGTCAATTTCTTGCTCTTTGAGACTGGTTCTCAAGCGTTACCTGTTTGGACTAGGTTGACCCTGTAGTACAATTAGTACTCATTTCTCTCTGAATGGAGGAGATACTATATTTTGGGCTATTTAGCCCTGCTCATTAGTTTCACATTGGCGTAAAGCATGTTGAATTAAAAGGTGCCAAGAAATTCCATATAAAGTAAAAATAATGATGATTTACCAAGGAGAAAATCAACTAATTATTTGGCCAACTATTCAGGAATAGTTACTTAAATTTGATGGTAACAAATAGGCAACATTCTACTTCGTTGTGGTTTCGTCTTTTTGTGTATAAAAATTGGGGCTTGGGATAATGCTGTGGAGGAAAAAATGTGAGAGCAAAGGAGTAAGAAGAGAAGTCACAGGAAAAAGACACTATTTGTGAAAGTGGATCTTAAGCTCTAAATTGCTTTTAAAATGGAGATTTTTCTTGGAGGCAGATTGGAATTAGAGGACTAGCAGGAGGTACTCTTCCAAACTTTAATAAATATCATAAGTGTATCTCACCTTCATTCCCAGGAAACTAATTTAGCGATGGTGTTTGCCAGGCTAATAATAAGATGTTAAATTGCTCCCTTGTGTGCCAAACCCTGTGCCAACTGTTGTATGTGTTTGATGTCTTTTAAACCTCACCACAGCCCAGGGAGATACAAATGAGAAAAATGATCTTAATAAGGTTCAGTTACTTGTCTGAGATCACAGGCTAGCAGTAAGAATCAGAACTGGAACCAGGTCTGTCAGGCATCAGATGCCATGCCCCTAAAACTCTGCTGCTATGCTTGATACTATTATGCTGACATAGATACTTATTATCTTGTGACCACTGACTAATCAGAGATTGATGTGTCTTTTTTAAAGCCTATTTTATTTTTATTTCAGGCAAGTCTACCCATTTTGCAGAAAAGTAGATTTGGCCTAGATGGGGAGCAAGAAAATGAAACTTATGTAAAAGAACCCAGAGGCACTGCACAAAGAGTACAAGTTAGGACAGATTTTTTTTTTTTTTTAGAAGTCTAAAGAATCTTAACAATAAGGAAATTGAGATTTTTGACATTTTCAATGACTTGATCAGGTCATGTAATTAGTAAGCAACAAAACTGGCACTATACTGCCTTTGTTTTGAGCTACTTTAATTATCGTCATGGGCAAGTGCTTTTTTTTAAAGACCATAAATCCTATGAATATTGAGTATTTACATAAACATGTGCTGCATATACATGATTGATAAGTTTAGAGATAGACTCAATAGTTTTCTTTAGATGTCTGTGTGGCATGTGACTGATGACACAGTTGGTTCAACAAGCATTTTATTAAATGTCAAGCACTGTGGAAGAATCTATTGTATCATATGTACTCAATTAAGACTATTAAAAACCTATTTCTGTTTCCAGTTTTAGTGACAGACATACAGAAATCTGCCGTTGGATACTATCACTGATTAAAAATGGTTTCTATCTCCTGATTGCTTTGACTACTTTCCTTGCATTCTCAAAGATCGGAGAAGAGAAGACTCTGGAAACACAGGCTGCATGCCAAGCTCTCTTCTCTAACACCATGTTCTAGCATTACCACTTCAGCTGCTGAGTCCTCTATAAAAGAGGCTGCCCGTTTGTCTGCTTGGCCCGACCTCAGGGTGTTTAGGAAGAAAGACAGCAGGATTCCATGATGTGGAAACCAAACAATTTAACCCCCAGAGGCCTGGGGCAGAGATGGAGGAAATGATGCTGTGTGAAGCACACAAGAGCAGAGGCCAGCTGCCACCCTGCCTCGTAGTTTCCATGTTAGTGAGCACATTTGGTTTCCAGAAGAGTCCAAACATCTGACCCAGCAGCCCATCTGGAATGTCAGCTCTTAGTACATAGATGTTATGTAACATCACCCTGTCAAATGAATCCATGGGCAACTGAGAACCAGGACACACCAGAACCAGGACTTACTGATTTAACTCCATTTATCTCCAAGGCCCTGAACTGCTAAAAAATGTACAGCTAAGTATTCTTAGGCAATTTTCATGCTGGATTACAGCTCCTACAAGAAGCACCTCAGGGGAATTTAGGGAGGAATTTCTACTTTACAGTCACCTTTGATCTAATCTTTTAAGATACATATTCTTTGAGATATCTTTAAGATAAATGTTCATTATTATTCTTCTGTCATTCATTCTCAATTATAATTTAAGCTTCTTGATGGTAGAGGCCATCATTTCTATTTCATCAGAATCTTTGATGCTTAACTCAGGGCTGAGGTGTCTCAGTGTAAGCTCATTGAATGAATAAATAAATGACTTCTTTTGGTATAGAAAGTGAATAAAGGGGAAGGACAAGGTAGTCATTTATTCAGGTTTCAGTGAGGTCTAATCTAGCTTATTTTCTGAGGCTTAATAAGCTTTATGAATAAAAGATGCTCAGCATCATCTGCCATAAGGGAAATGGAAAACAAAAGCATGAGATATCATTCCACACTCATGAGAATAGCTAAAATGAAAGAGATTGACAATTACCATGTTAGTGAAGAAACTAGAACCATCACACATTGCTGGTAGGAATGTAAAATGGTATAGCTACTTTGTAAGCTACAATAGTTTGTCAGTTCTTCAAAAGGTTAAACAAAAAGTCATAGCATTACCTTATGACACAGATGTTCCACTCCAATTGAAAATGTATGTCTACACAAAAGTTTGTATATGTGGGTTCACAGTATCATTATACATAATAGTGAAAAGGTGGAAACAATCCAAATACCAATCAACTGTTGAGTATGGATTCATGTAGTGGAATATTATTCACCCCTAAAAAGTAATCAAGTTCTGACACATGCTCTGACATGGATGAATATTGAAAAATATCATGCTAAATGAAAGAAATCAGATGTGAAAGGCTACATATTGTATGGAAAGCGCATATTAGCAAATTCGTAGAGACAGAAATAGATTGGTGTTTGTGAAGGCTGAAAGGAGGAGCCAATGGTGAATGGTTGCTTAATGTTTTTTTTTTTTTGCGGGGGGATGATGAAAATATTCTGTAATTATATAGTAGTTGTGGTTGAACAACTTTGTGAGTAAATTTGAAGCCACTTAGTTGTACTCTTTAAAATTATTGTTGGTGATAATTCATCTTATGACTCCATTTGAATTTGATCTCTTATTAGATGCTTAATATAACATGTAATGTCTAAAATATAAACTAGAGGTTAAAGTATATTAAGTGCTTTCTGATGCTTAAATTATTCTAGAACTTTAAATTTTTATAATTATTTATATATAATAGCTTTAGCAAGGTATACTTAACAAATAATAACTGGCATATTAAATGCATAACTTGATTAAGCTTTGACATATATACAATGATAGGATAATACCACAATAAAGATAGTGGACACATCCATTATCTTTAAAAGTTTACACTTGCCTCTTTGTAATCTTGTCCTTCTGCCCCTCCCAACGACTACTCCCTTATAACTACTGAATGTTTCTCTGTTATTGTAGATTAGTTTGCATTTTCTAGAATTTTATGTAGATATAATCATACAGTAAATTTTTTGTTTGACTTCTTTTACTTAGCAAAATTATTTTAAAACTCATCCATAATTATTTTTAGATGTATGCATAGTCTATTCCTGTTTATTGCTGAGTATTATTTATTATATGGATAAATCACAACTTGTTTATCTAGTCACCAGCTGATGAACATAAGAGGTGTTCCCAGTTTGACTATGAAAAACAGAGCTACTGAACATTTGTATGCAAATCTTTGGGCAGATATTTCCTTTTTCTTGGGCAAGTATATAGGAGTAGAACTGCCAAGTCACATGGTGGGTGTGACTGTAATTCTTAAAGACTGTTAGAACTATCTTCCAAAATGATGGTGCCATTTTATATTCCCATAAACAGTGTATGAGAGTTCCCCCTCCATACAGATAGCGCTTTAAGTGAAAAAAAAAGATGGAGTGGAAATTAAACAAAACATTTAGAAGAGGAACCTAAGGGCCAGTCCTAAGATTTGAAAAACAACTGTGAAAGATATGAAACCACTATTGGATGTTGTATAAATGTGTCTGTTTTAAGCATCTAAT